AAGATACATGCTGGGCTGCACTGATAAGGAATCTTGGAAAAGTTACAAACTTGGTAAAAGGTATAAAAGACGGAGAAACTTGGCACTCACTTGGAGAACTACCCACCTGTAATGCGGACGCGTGTTGCTGGTCTCTGCTGTTCCCAGTGTACAGTTCCTGTCTCAATTATCTCTCAGTCACAGGGGAGAGATTACTTAAAACAGCAGTGACTATCTATTCAAAGTGAACTAATAGTAACAAGTGGTAAGTGATAAATAGAATTAAGGCTTACCCTAAAAGGTGAAGCAGTACAATCAGAATGATAACTGGACAAATTAGATATTCCGATCACATAGGCTTCAGTATATTGAGGTAGAGTTTGATGATTTGTTCATCATATGTAGAAGATATCCTCATATATATGGAGACAATAAAAAGGGGAATGGGAGTATAGCCAGATCTGGTGCATTAACTCTTAAAGTACAAGCGTAAGTGAAAACACACAGTGAGCCTCTCACCTTCTTAGGTGCCAAAAAGGCCTGGCACCTAGTATAACAGCATGTGTATCAATCTGTGTATCAATCTATGTCCTTTTTGCCAGTCTGCTGTACAGTTCCTTCTTACAAAATCCATCTTTATTGTTGGCACCAAAGTCCCGGTATACATATAATGATCATACTCATAAAGTCCAAGGAAAAAGGGGACAGAACAAAAAAATAAACCACATATAATCAGTTAGTAAACACTAGGTAATAAAAAAATAGACTTAAAAAATGGGATGGGTATAGACATAGAAACATAGAATGTGACGGCAGATGAGAACCATTCGGCCCATCTAGTCTGCCCAATTTTCTAAATACTTTCATTAGTCCCTAGTCTTATCTTATAGTTAGGATAGCTTTATGCCTATCCCACGCATGCTTAAACTACTTTACTGTGTTAACCTCTACCACTTCAGCTGGAAGGCTATTCCATGCATCCACTACCCTCTCAGTAAAGTAATACTTCCTAACCAATATCAGTTTTACTATCAATTAATAGTTTGTATAAATAACCTTTTTTCTGTCCTGAATTTAAACCCCTTGCGTTAATAAATAATATATTAAGTGACATCTTGCCACAACCCCCCCACCCCCACCCCTTTCTCCCCTCTAACCACCACTCACATAATAACCAACACACAAATAGAAACATATGAAATGGATAACAGAATAAAAAAATAATAATAATAAAAAAAATATATATATATATATATATATATATATATAAATATATATAAATAGCATTTATGGACCTAACAGTTAAAAAAAAAATGGTAACGTTCAAAATCGTTGTTAAGTCCATAAGGCAAAATAATATTTAAATTAAAAATCCATTTAATCTCCATTTGGCCAATTTTTAAAATTAGATCCTCTCCTCTCCAATTCACATTAATTTTTTGAATACCTCAAAATTGCATATGTCGTGAATCACTGTTCAATCACCCTAGTAGAATGACATGTAATCATTTGTTTAATCTTAAAAATTGTCTTATTTCGTCTTTGGGGGTGATTGAATTATTTAATTATCCTTTTTTTACTATTAGAGTTCTTACACACTCCACATAGGCCACAGCCATAAAAACCATTAGATTCATTGAAAACATTTTTTTTTTTTGTCATTTTATGCGGTATATGCTAACTAGGTTGCTAACTTACTTCTTAAATTTTGTGCTCCTCTAAATGTAATAATAGGTTTATCAGGGAGTATACCATTAAGGATATTATCATGTTTTAAAATCGGCCAATATTTATTTATAATGTTTTTCAATTGTCTATTTTTACAATTAAAATCACAAATAAAATTTAAATGTTGGAAATTTGTGTTATTTATTTTCTCTTTATATTTCATTAATTTGCACCTATTTTTTTTCTTTTACGTCATCATAAACGGAACTCAATAATTCTTCCCTGTACCAATTTTCTTTAAAATCCTACATTATCTTATTGGCCTGTTCCTGGAACTTAGTATCATCTGTGCAGTTATGTTCTAATAATTACGTATAATTCCCCTATGTAGCGGTTGATGTCGACCTTTTGGAAAAAAGTGCAAGTTTTTAATTTATTATTTTCTGCATAAATATTCAGGTCCAGAATGTCCACAGATTGTTTACTAAATTTACTGGTCAATACAATACCCCAGTCACTAGAATTCAGGTAAGTTAAAAAGTTACTAGTGATGGTTCATCTCCCTTCCAATTAAAAAATATATTGTCTATATATCGACGATAGGTCACGAGGTTTGCCGCCCATTCATGGTCACTATGGTTAAATAAGTGCTCTCACAGTGCCATATGTTCGAATAAGTTTGCATAACTATGTGCAAACCTCGTGCCCATCACCGTGCCACAAATTTCTAGGAAACATTGATCACCAAACCAGAAGTAATTATTGCATAAAATCCATTCTATTTTTTCTATGATAAAATCGATCTGTGCATTTAAAAATTTGTTAGATTGTTCTAAAAAATATCTAGTGGCCTGACACCCCTTTTCTTGTGAAATGATAGTATATAATGAATTCTCATCTGCTGTAACTAGATAACAATCCTCGTCCCATTTACAATTATTTAAAACTTGTAGGAGGTTTAAAGTGTCTTTTAAATAACTTTTACAGGTGCACACAATGGGTGGGAGGCATTTGTCAGTGTACTGTGATAACTTGCTCGATATTGATCCTATTCCGGACACTATGGGTCTACCGGGGGTTTATCCTTTCTTTTAGTTCAGTGTGTATAATCTCAGTTGATTCAGTTAATCCTTCAGGTCTGGTCATAGGTTGTTTAAGGAAAAAAAATGTAAGGCACAATTTCCTTTTAAATCTGTTGAGATCTTAATAAACACTAAATTAATCCAGGGATTTCATAAGAGCGAATTTCAACCCTTTACTTAATAGTTCCTCTTGCCCTGGAATCAGTTTTCTTTTGGAAAGATTGAAAATTCCATTTACCTTTGGTATTTGTCTCTCCTTTTTTTTTTTTTTATATGTGCTTCTCCTCTAGTTCCCCTTCTTCTAAACCTTGTCTTCTCTTCCTTGGTAACGTAGGATGCATGAGGTTGTCCTTGTGTCTCCCTTTCATCTGTCTGTGCCAAAAATCCTCATCTTATTTACTTTCGTATGTCGTCATTCTCTTGGTGTTTTGTTAATGGGTACGGGGGATTTGTGCTGTTTCCTTCTAACCACCCTTTCCTAATTATCTCAATTTTCTTTGGGGGTTAAATCCTGTCTTGTAGATTTTTGAGTCATATGGCTGGGTATCTTATGATTCTGTTGATTATATTTGGGATATCTATTGCGTGATGGTGTCCGTCTAATTTTATTCCTATATTGTCGACTGTACTTACTGTTTGTTCTATTGTTATAATCAGAGTTCCCAACATTGTAATTTCTATTGTGATATTGGGGAACATTCCGTTGGAGTATGTCCTGACCTGGTTTCTAGCATAGTCCTCTTTATCTCTCAAATATATTCTCCTTTTTACCTTGAGCATATTTTTCTCCATTCTTTCTAAATTGGTTTGGATCTCATGTAATGTCTCTGTATATTGTTCAGATGACATATTAGATACTAGGAAATGTTTTTTTTTTTTTACAATGTGTTTTATTTAAGCATATTTTTCATCATTCGTATAAAAACAGAATACGAAGCAAACAAGGGATACAGAAGGAAAAAGGGGAAGGGGGAAGGCAGCTTGCATAGGTCACATCATACAATACAATATAGTAGAACAAACCGTGGTATTAAGTCAATATCGAAAAGACAGTTGACAGTTCGTACATTATGTTACATAACGGTGATGGATATACATGAAAACAACCTGGTGTCATATATGGGGTACTGGAAGGCTTAACACAGAGAGTAGGGGAGGGAAAACCCGGGGGGAGCTAGTGACCGATCTATAGCCCCTAGTGAGGCTCTCCCTTCCTATAGTCCACCCAACTCTGCCATCGTGATTTGTATCTACTTTGACTGTTGGTCAGCCGGCTAGCCATGCGCTCGTACGCATGAGTTGAGTCCAGCCTGCCTAGGATTTCTGGCAACGTTGGTGTCAGAGGGGACTTCCATCTATGCGCAATGGCAGTTTTGGTAGCCATTAGGCAGTGAATCGCGAACAAGATCGCTTCTGTAGGGAGGGTATCTGGGAAGATATGTAATAGAAAGCATTCTGGTGTCTGAGGTATTCTTACACCCAGAATTTTATGAAGAAGTGCATGTATATCCCGCCATAGCGTGGTGATGTGTGTGCATGCCCAAAATATATGGAAGAGGGACCCTTATCAGTTATGGCATCTCCAGCATCGGTCGTCAGATCCCGGGTAGATATGGGCCAATTTAGTAGGGACTAGATACCAGCGCATCATTAATTTGCAGTATGTTTCCCATTGGTTAAGGCTATGGGAAGCCTGTTTAGTTAATCTTTGGGCGTGATGCCACATTTCTGTTGAGAAATGCATTCCTAGTTCTGATTCCCATTTAGACATATACGATGGTTTAGATAGCTTATTGTGGAGCAATAATGTGTTGTAGCATAGGGATAATGCTTTAGTTTTTGGTAGTTTGCCCATGCATTTATGGATAAATGGCGGTAAGTGATCGGGTTCCCCCAAGCTAATCCTGCATTCCTGGATAATATTTTTTATTCTGAGGTAAGAGAATAGTTCTCGTGAAGGGATATGGAATTCCCTGATTAAGTCTGGGAAGGGCTTGATGCCGTCTGGGGACAATAAGGAGCGGACTTGGGAGATCCCCTGTTTAAGCCAATTATCTAATTGAATGTCTGACGTTCAGGCAGCCAGGGCCTGAAGTGGGGCTGCAAGGAGCAGGTTGTTGTTTTGTAGTTTGCTTCCAGTGTTGGAGGAGCAAGACCGTGGTGGGTAGCAAGGATTTGGCTTTGGGGAATTTTGACCCTGCCCAAAGGGACAGAGGAATTGAGCCATTGGGTGTGCAAGCGTTCTCCAACGCCAGCCATACCGGGGGAGAAGGATGTTCAAGGATCGTGAGGCCCTGGGCCAACAATGACGCCTTGTAATAAAGGGATATATTGGGAACACCTAGCCCCCCTTTTGTAAACGGGCGTCAGAGTGATTTTTGCGCTATCCTGGGGGGTTTCCGTTTCCAGATATGAGCATTTATCATGGCCTGAAAGTTCTTTAAGATTGGGTTTGGGATTGTAATGGGGAGGGTGCGGAATAGGTATAGGATATGTGGTAGAATCGTCATTTTTACAGTGTGGATTCGTCCCAACCAGGAGATCTCTTTCTCCTCCCAGGTCCTAAGGAGTTGTTCTAGTCTGTGGATGAGTGGTAGGTGATTTTCCTGCACTATTACTGAGTGCCTCGTTGGCAATTTTATACCCAAATAGGAGATGGAGGAGTTCCGCCACTCGAATGGGTATAGTGCTTTTAGGAGTGTTAGGGAGGTATGTGACAGCCCTATCGCCATCGCTTGTGTCTTTTTGGCATTGTTTTTATAGAACGATAACTTTCCGTAATTCCCCAGAAGGGTTAGCAAATTCGGTAAAGATTTTTCCGGGCGTGTTAAATATAGAAGGACGTCATCTGCGAATAGGGCTATTTTTTGGGTCCCTATAGGGGTAGCTAGGCCTTCAATTGTTTTGTCGTTTTTTATGTGCCTAACTAACGGTTCCATGCATATTATAAAGATTAATGGGGAGAGGGGGCATCCCTGTCTGGATCCATTTGTTATTTGAAAGGGTTGAGATAGAAATCCGGAGTTAAATATTCTGGCTGCTGGATTAGAGTATAGGGCCATGATACCTTTCAAGAAGTCTGGTGGGATGCCTACTGAAGTTAGAACAGCCCTCATATAAGTCCAATTTAGGCGATCAAATGCTTTTTCCGCATCTAGAGCTAACAATATGCCACTTTGGTTAGTTTTTTGAGCCCATGAGATTAAGTTCAGAAAGTGTCGTGTATTGTCCCCCGGTTGTCTGTTCAGGACAAAACCTGCCTGCTCTGGAGAAACCAGATCATGTAGGAAGGGTTGGAGGCGATTGGCTAGCAATTTGGCAAAGAGTTTTGTGTCTGCGTTCAGCAGAGAGATGGCTCTCAGGTTGGCGCATTCAGTGGGAGGTTTGCCAGGTTTGGGGAGTGTAACGATATGGGCTAGCAACATCTCCTCCGGCATAGTTCCTGAGTCCTTAAAGAAGTTAAAGAGGTCTGTAAGGTGTGGTGTGAGCTGTGTCTCGAATGTGGAGTAAAAGTGATTAGAGAACCCGTCCGTGCCTGGAGCTTTATGTTTGGGTAATTTGTGTATTGCGTTTCGTATTTCCTCTTCCGTGAATTTACCTGACAGGATTGTGCTTTGTTGCGCAGTCAGACGAGGTAGTGTTACTTCTGTCAGAAAAGCAACTATTTCTGACTCTATTGGCTGATGTAATGTCTTGTCCTGTGTAAGGTTATATAGGCCCTTATAGAAATTCGCCAATTCGTTCACTATATCTTGTGGGTTGAATAGTTTTTTTACCCAGTGGCTGAAGTCATATATGGAAGTTTGGATTGTATGTATCGGGATTTTAGCCGTTTTGCGAGCAATTTGCCTGCCTTGTTCCCTTGCATATAGTAGGCGAGCTTCAACTTGCGGAGCTGCCGTTCCATACCTATCAGGGACAGTTCAAGTAGTCTTTCCCTTAGCTTTTCAATTTTTTGGTATAGATTTTTAGTTGGTTTGAGTTTGTTATCTTGGTCTAGTGTTTTAAGTTGAGAGAGCAGACTATCTGACTCAGTGTAGGTTTTTATTTTTTTTTTGCGCCTGCCTGGATTAAAAGGCCTCTTAAAACGGCTTTGAGGGCCAACCATTTAGTGTCTATGCGGGTGTGGTCAGATTGGTGGGTTTCGAAGAACGATAGTATGCTGGCCCGAATTTTTATGGCGGTGTTCTCGTTATCTATGAGAGATTCGTTCAGGCGCCAAGCACTGCGCCCCCGTGAAGGGAACAAAACCCTGAATGTAGAATGCACACTCCTTACCTATGCACCGATTTTTGTAATAGGGCCAAGAGTATTCTAGGATTATGTTTATCCTATATGAAAGAATTACACACTGCCTGTAAATTTTAACTGACAGTGTGTAATTTTAACAGAAGCATACCGGGATATTGACTGGTATTGGTAACATCCAAAATGTTTAGAGAATTTTTAGGAGCAGCACCATCTTAAGTGCATTAATTTTATCCAAACAAGATAATTTGATTGATTTCCATTTAGTTAGATCTTCTCTAGATTTTTGTACCATTGAAGACTTACTAAATTAAAACATGTCTTTAAAAGACAAAACTTTTTTCATAAGTGATATATGTGTTTCTCTAATCAAAATCATACAGCTTCTATAAATCTTGTATTTTTTTTTAAAGTGTTTAATCTGACTGGTAAGGACTGTGTTTGTGTACCGTTCGTGATAGAATAGAAGGAAATGAAGTCTACATTTGACACTTGTGCCGTAGGTTGATGATAGAGAGCTGATGGATTTCCATATTTTATGAACATATACTGTATAGGCGTGCGCAGCCTATTGCATTAGGGTGTGCACCCTAAAGCACAAGCACACGCCGCATATATATATGTATGTATGTATATATATATATGTGTATATATATATATATATATATATATACACATACACATATATACACATATGTGCTGTGTGACGGTGCTGGTAGTGTGCTATGTGGGTGAGGGTGTTTGTGTGTGCGTGCTTGTGAGGATGCTGTTAATGTACTGTGTGTGAGGGTGCTGTTTGTGTGTGTGTGTGCGCTTGTGAGGGTGCTGTTAATGTACTGTGTGTGAGGGTGCTGTTTGTGTGTGAGGGTACTGGTAGTGTGCTGTGTGTGTGTTTGTTAGGGTCCTGTTTGTGTTTGTGAGGGTACTGTTAGTGTGCTGTGTGTGTGTGTGAGGGTGCTGTTTGTGTGCTGTGTGTGAGGGTGCTGTGTATGTTTGTGAGGGTGCCGTATGTGTGTGTGGGTGCTGTATGTGTGTGGGTGCTGTATGTGTGTGGGTGCTGTGTATGTCTGTCTGTGGGTGCTGTATGTGTGTGGGTGCTGTGTATGTCTGTGGGTGCTGTGTATGGGTGCTGTATGTGTGTGGGTGCTGTATGTGCTGTGTGTGTGCTGTGTATGTGTGGGTGCTGTATGTGTGGGTGCTGTGTATGTGCTGTGTATGTGTGTGGGTGCTGTGTATGTCTGTGGGTGCTGTATGTGTGTGGGTGCTGTGTATGTCTGTGGGTGCTGTGTATGTCTGTGGGTGCTGTGTATGGGTGCTGTATGTGTGTGGGTGCTGAATGTGTGTGGGTGCTGAATGTGTGTGGGTGCTGTATAAGTCTGTGGGTGCTGTATGTGTGTGGGTGCTGTATGTTTGTGGGTGCTGTATGTGTGTGGGTGCTGTATGTTTGTGGGTGCTGTATGTGTGTTGGTGCTGTATGTGTGTTGGTGCTGTGTATGTGTGGTGCTGTATATCTGTGGGTGCTGTATGTGTGTGTGCTGTATGTGTGTGGGTGCTGTTTGTGGGCTGTGTGTGCTGTGTGTGTGTGGGTGATTGTGGGGGTGGAGGTGGAGGAACCCGGCGGAGATGCCGGCAATAGCTCGAGAAGTGCTAAGAGAAGACCCTCCAATTTTGATTTAGACAAATAAAAAAGTATATTCAGAATCTTCCTTGTGTTATCTGTCCCTTGCCTCCAACACATAAACCAACTGATAGATGGTTTCCCTGGCTTCAGTAGTGTAGATATATATATACCCTAAGCCTCTCTGGAGGCAATGCTTCCTGATTGCCCAAATCACCTACCAGAAGCTACCAGATAATTAACAGCAAAAAAAAAAGAAAATGAATAAAATGTAATTGCCAGGGGAATCTTTTCCATGAGTTCCCTTTCATTACTACAGACTATAAATCTATTTTCAACAGTGATAATTAAAAAAAAAAAACACCTGAGCTAAGTGTTCTTTAGTTTTAATTTGTCAAGTTACAGTAGTAACTTCCCACATTTTGTTTTGTCACTGTCTATTTTGTCCTGTGTCAACATGTAACTTATTTGTATTTTCAAATATAGCACCACTTGATGTTTTGTTGACTTAATTGCTGAATAAACCCTTTCACCAGCACAAAGAGACATTGCATATAAAACATTATGTACCCACTAGATAAATCCACTTCTGTTTAAATGCAGTTTCTAAATGTTTTGCAGTTTTTAAATAACATGTGATAGGTCTCATGTTCTGTAATTTGTTTAAAATGCAGCTTTTTACGGTAACAGAATGAATGGGGTCATTGATTCGATTAGTTTTTATGGATTCCATTACTTATTCATTTTTAAATGGAATATTGTAAAATATGAAACATGCACAACTTTAAATTCGAAAAAAAATATATTGCTTTCCTGTGTCTTTTTTTATGTTAAAATGTTCATGACACATAATGTACCAACAAGGAAAAGAGAGAGAAAATGAGGGAGATTGGGAGATTGCATGTTTATTGGGACTAATTTGAAAAATAACAGAATTGAAAGCAAAATGTAATAATTGAGAACAATTTATTAGAAGATGGGAGAGTGAGTAAAGCAGAAAGAGTTTGGGTAAGATGACACTGGTTTGGAGATGATGATGTTTCTTTGTACATTGATGTAAAATGTATATTAAAAGTTAAGTTCCTCATCTTTTTCTTATTGTGATTGTAGCAGTGTCTGGGATCCGAATTTACCAGGAGATCTCTTCCTATTTAATTAAAAACAAAACATGTTTTTTGTTTGATTTCTAATGGAAGAGTTGGGTAAAATTTCAGAACATTCCAGTTTCTGTCAATAGACTGTGTCAAGTCCCTGCTTGCTGTGTGAAATTTAGCAGGAAACACAATTCTTGTACATATTCTGGTACATAATTTGTAGTTGTTCATTGCGCTGTTCTATCATAGAGTTATTATGAAAAACTCTCAGAAATTGCGAAAGGGATCATGAGTCCTTGAGGTGCTTTGGGTGTGAACTCTCATAGTGTAGGATTGTGTTCCTGTCCGTAGGCTTTGTGTACAGTCTGTACTCCAATTTATGGTTGATCACCATTAATTCAATATTCAGTGTCAATATGTGATGTTAGTCTAACCAGTGTTGGAAGTGCATTAATATATTCCACAAATACGAAAGCTTCATCTTCAGACCCGTTCCAAAGAATCAGTACCTGGACTTTATTTTGTGTTCCTGGC